GACACACTTCATTTTGGATTTTGATCGATGAAAAATACTCTCGATTGTTTTAAACTTTATATATTATTAAAATGTATAACCTTTAATACAAATGTTTAATAAAAATGTTAGTTATGATAAATTTGAGATGAAATAAAATTATTGTTTTCTAAAATATAAATAAATTTCGGCGATGTCGAAAGAAATGTTTCTCAAAAAACGAAGAAGGACGTGTATATTTGGAGAAAAATATATACACATATATAAAATTTGACAAAAGCAAATGTAAAAGAAAGAAATAGAATAGAAAATAATAGATATTTGCAACATATTAAAATGTTTCTTGCTAAATTGTTCCATCGTAAAACTCCAGACTCAGAATTAAAATCTATAAAAAATGAAAATAATACATTATCTTCATCAGAAAAATCAGAATTTCCAAATCAAAATTTAGTTTATCCATTCCATACCGAAAAAGCAACGAGTTTTCCTCCTCCACTTTTGTTAGATGCAGCAGTGCATGCTAATCCTCAAACTATTGCAACAAAATCTGAAAATCCAAAGAATTTGTTTCAAATCAAAAATGCATATGAAAAGATAATTAATATGAATGATAGGAAAGAGAATAGAGATATTAAGAGGGAAAACAAAGACATTAGAAAAGATATAAGAAGAGAAAACAATGATATTAAGAGAGAAAATAACGATATTAAAAGAGAAATCAAGGATATTAGGAGGGAAAACAACGATATTAGAAGAGAAAATAATGATACTAGGAGAGAAAATAACGATGCTAGGAGGGAAAGCAAGGATATTAGGAGGGAAAACAACGATATTAGAAAGGAAAGCAAGGATATTAGAAGAGAAAACAACGATATTAGGAGGGAAATCAATGACATTAGGAAGGAAATCAACGATATTAGAAGGGAAAATGATGTTAGGAGAGAAAATGATGTTAGAAGAGAAAATGATGTTAGAAGAGAAAATGATATTAGAAGGGAAAATGATATTAGAAGGGAAAATGATGTTAGAAGAGAAAATGATGTTAGAAGGGAAAATGATGTTAGGAGAGAAAATGATGTTAGGAGGGAAAATGATGTTAGGAGGGAAAGCAACGATGTAAGGAGGGAAATCAAGGATATTAAAAGGGAGATCAACGATATTAAGAAAGAAAATGATATTAGAGAAGATGAAGTGAAAGTTGAAGTCGAAGATGAAGTCGAAGATGAAATGGTGGATGAAATCGAAGATGAAAAAATATATTTGGATGAGTACGATATTTGCAATTTGCAAACTTGTCCAAAGAAAGAATATATTTCTGAAATTTGTGAAAGTCCTTTAATAAAAGAAATTGTTAAATGTGAATCAGATTGTAAAATCAGTCCCATAAAATTAACACAAATGATCAATAGTTCGATTAAAGAAGCGATGCAGACTATTGTGGAGCAATGTAGAATGGTATTTAAGATGCAAGTATCCAAGATACTTAAATTTTTTACTAAATTTTTATTACCAATTTACGTGTAAATAAAATGAAAAAAATTATGTAATTATTTCAATATATATATATACATATTTTTTTTTTCAAAAAGCAGAAAGAAGAAAAGAATCTTGATAAGAAGCCGGAAGAAAAGAATCTTAATAAGAAACCGGAAGAAAAGAATCTTGATAAGAAGCTGGAAGAAAAGAATCTTGATAAGAATCTGGAAGAAAAGATTGATAGATCAATCTGTTATGTTAAGAAAATTCCAGTAAAGATCAAGCGTGAGCATCGAGCACGTGGAATTCAGGCAAATCAAGAACATCACAATAATCGTTGCAAAATTACAAAATCGAATCGTCTTCAAGAAAAATATAACATTGCTCGTATGAATCTTAAAAAATTACACGAAGAACATGTAAAACGTTTGCGTAAAAAAAAGAAAGCACTTGAAGAGGAAAAAAAGAAAATCACGAAACAATCAAAACGCTCAAAATCATCGAATAATTTGAAAACTGATAATCGTAAAATGACTGGAAATGTAAATATTTATATCTGTTCGGAAGCTACTGAAAATGCTCAAGTAATTTTATTTTTTTTTTTTTTATTGAAAATAATTTTTATTAGAAATGTTCTAATTAATTGTTTTATTTGTTAGGAAAAAGGTAAGAAACAAGAAAAACCTCAACCGTGTGCTGAATCTAGTTCAGAAACAACGACAGAATCATCAAAAATTTCGTCGAGCAAGCTTGTTACTTGCATTCGAAATAAACGTAAAAAATCTGTAGAAAATTCATTGGACAGTCTCTCGAAGGAAGACGAAAGTAATAAAAGTAATGATACTAGCCTTATATGCAGTTGTAGTTCCAAATTTTCAGATTCAAAGACCACGATAAAAGTAGATAGTAGTGATATTCTTGAAATTTGTCACGATCTTGATAAAGATGAAAGTAGCTCGACAACAATCGAATCTACTTTGATCGAGTGTAAATGCAAAGACGCAAGTGTTAGCGATGTATGTGTGAAAAAATCTTCTGATACGCTTTCTGAAAGGCCTAAATATATCATATGTGACAAAATAGAAAAACCTTGTTCCACGATATATCCTAAAAAAAATTTATCGGATTCAGAAAGTGAAGGATGGTCTTCAAAATCGACTAACAGCAATCGAGACATAAAATGTTTTCTACCTGATTCTTGGTCAGAAGAATTAGATCCTAATATGAATTATCATACTTGCGAAAGTGAAACGAAACATACTAAAATTATTAAAAGTTTATGCAAATGTCGCAAAAAAGATGAAAAATTAAATAGTAAATATAATATGCGATGCAAATATTGTCGTAAAAGGCGTTCATCTAAAATAATTGATAAAGAATCATTGTTAATTTGTAAGTGCATAACAGAGGAGGAAGAGGAAGAAGAAGAAAAAAAATCCATAAAATGTGTACCATGTCCGAAATATTCAGAAAATAAATTTATAAAGTCTGTACCATGTCCAGAATATTCTGAAAATAAATTTATAAAGTCTGTACCATGTCCA